CTGTTGCTGCAAGACAAAGCCGTTTTTGAGGCACTACTTGCTGGGAGAACCCATTGACGTGCAGGCCTGATGAAGGGATCGATAACCCATTAATATCTAGAGCAGGGGTGTCAAACATGCGGCCCGGGGGCCGGGTCAGGCCCCCGCCCCCGGAGGGCTTCCATCAGGCCCACAGTGCAACTGGCCATCTCCTGCTTCCCGTTCTGCTGCTGCTGCTGCTGCTGCTGCATCATAGCTTGCTCCGCCAGACTCTCTTAATCGCTCAGCCATTTCATGTTTTCCCCTGGGTCCGACACTCAGGACTCTGAGCATGAGATTTCTGTGGTGAATGTCAATACATCAAAAGTGGGCTTGCAGCTTACAGAGCTAACGTTTTAAGCATGTTTTTATTTTAAGTAAAGAAACACAACTTTGTGTTTGTGTCCTTTATAAAGTTTATATCTCCACTACCTGGCATTACGTTTTATGACACACGTGGCCCGGCCTGACAAGGTCTCATTTATGATAGACCCGGCCCTCCAGTTTGGTGTATTGCTTAGGAGCGCGGACTCTAATTTGGGAGAACCGGGTTTGATTCCCCCACTCCTCCACTTGCAGCTGCTGGATGACCTTGGGCAAGCCATAGTTCTGACAAGAGCTGTCCTTGAAAGGGCAGTTTCTGTCAGCTCTCTCAGTTCCACCTACTCCACAGGGTGTCTGCTGTGGGGAGGGGAAGGGAAAAGGAGTTTGTAGGCCGCTCTGAGACACCTTCGGGTAGTGAAGGGCTGGGTCTAAATCCAGTCACTTCTTCTTCTTCATAACAACTGAGTTCGACACCCCTGATCTAGAGATTGGGTCGACTGCAGTTCATCCTTTTGTGCTTGCTCCAAGTCTTAAAGACCGGACTTATTTGCTTCATGGACATTTGTTTTTCCAGTTTGGAACTGAGAAGCCTTTTCTCCACCCCAGAACACTGAAGCCACACTTGGGGATGGTTTGTCCCCTTCAAGTTCTTAACTTGTCTGTGTAACTATTGTATTGTATTGGTCTGAACAGTATACTGAAATAATAAGAGTTGCTTAGGAGTTATAATACTGTGGAGCTCTACGTGATGTTAAGTTTCATGTGGCCCATCGTAGTCCCAGCAAACTGATTAAGAAATACTTTAGAACATAAGAACATAAGAGAGAAGCAATATGAGAGACAGAGAATGGAATTCCTAGCTCTCCTGCCTGGTGGAACGGGGGCTGCTGCAGTCAAATGTGATTTCGGCCTGAGTATATGGAACTGACAAAGATCTAGAAAGGCGGCCGTCTTGTCTCTGGCCTGACAAAGAGTATATTTTTGCTACTTTTCTCTAAATTGGCTGGCAAACAAAAATGAGGCAGGCTTGTGGTGTTCTGAGATTAGCACTACCTGCCTACATGTTTCCTTGCTAACTACCTGCCGTAAATAGTTTCCTATGTTATAAAAAAGCACCTTCAGCCTCCACTGGTGTTGCATTCCAAAGGAAACTAATCCTGGGGAAGATGACTCAAAACTGAAATTT